GCAAATACATGCATAAGTCTGTTTGTATTTCTGTTTCCTTCAACCCTTCTCTAATGGGGCGCTGTGCCCACGGTCCCCTATCATCTCATGGTAACAAACCTAGCCTGCTTCTTGAGACTCATTTCAGAGTAGCTCTGACAATGGCCACGGCTCACACCCCACACCTTGGCTACTAGGTTCTCCTCTTCCCAGCCGTTCTTCGGGATCCTTGTTCCTGCCTCTCCCAGTATGACCTGTGATCACTGGTACTTGGATCTCAGCCTGTCCTGGTCAACTAGACACAATGTGGAGTAACTGGGGAAGAGGATACAACTGAAGAATTACCTCCATTGAACTGGCCTATGAGCGTGCCTATGGGGGGCATTGTCTGGATGGCTAACTGAAGTAGAAGAGCCCAGCCCACTGTGGGTGGTGCCATCCTGTGGGAGCAAAACAGGACCGATAACAATACACTTTGCAGGTTAATGGGAGACCAAATCAGGACAAATATACCTTGCAAGTTAAGAGTTGCTTGCAGTTAAGAATAAGTTCCTGTTTGTTATCTATGTTTGTTTGAGCCATCTTCCCCGGATATGCTTGCTCACATGTAGATGGCAGGTTATGTGGGCAGTAAAAATGTCAGGATGTATGCTTTCCCCTGATTGGATATGGATGGGAGGTGCATAGGCAGGAAGTACATCAGGATATGTGCTTGCACCTGATTGGACCTGTTGGGAAATACGGTAGCCTTGTGGGCTGCCTTTGAAAAGTCTCTGCGGGGCGAGACTCGTGGTCATTTTCTGGGAACCCAGAGATGAACCTGGCTGGGGAGTCCATCAACCTGGCCAGTATTTAATTAAAGCCTGTTTCAAATTTGGCTTTAAATTATGGGAGTGGTCTTATTCTCCGCTGCTGGGATTAACAATCCCTAGGCAGGAGGGCCTGGGCTGTTGGAGAAAACTAGTGGAATCAGCTGGTAAGCAGCATTCCTCCCTGGTTTCTGCTTGAACTCCTGTCCTGAATTCCTTCAGTGATGTACTGTGATCTAGAAGTGAAGTCAAATAAATTCTTTCCTCCCCAGGTTGCTTTTAGTCACTTTTACCACATTAAGAGGCCAAACCAGAAAGAGCTGTTGAGTAATTTCTGTCTCTCCTGGTTGTCCTGACCACCCCGAGTTAACTGGACAAGTCTCCAGGTCCCGGACCTCCCCTGAACTCCAGGCTTGTCAGCACCTTCTACTCATTGTCCAGTTAGATGATTCCTAAACTTCCTACTCAGTAAATGCTAACAACACCCTCTTCAATGGTTGCGCTCTGGTCAAAAGCTATGGAGTGAAACCTGACTTCGTTCTCATCTGTGCTTATCTTTGTCAATCCGTGGCCTCCTCCACCGCTGCTCTAGGTCATTCCTGCACCTCATTTCAGTGACATCCAGCTCCCCAAAACCTGGTCTCTTTTCTCCAGCTATGCACAGAAACCAAAGTCAGCTCCTGAAAACAGGAGCTCAACTCATTCCTGGGGCTTCTATCTTGCTCAAGGTTAGAATCAGTCTTCAGAAGAGACAGTGAGTCTTCAGTGACTAGCTGGTTGTACCTCTGTGTCCTTGTTCCCTACTCTGCTCTGGCTCAATCTGCCCCAGTCCTGCTGTTCTGTGAGAACCTTGTGCTAACTGCTTTGACCTTGCCTGGAAGGGCTCCTTTTTGTAAACTTCATCGCCCCAGGGCCTGACATGTTTCTTCTTCTTAAAGTGTCTGTTTCTTGCTTCTCTTGCAACAGGGTTCCCACCACATGCACTAGGAGTCTCACTGTCAGGTTTTAGCCTAGAGTAAATCCTCTCTTTCTGAGGATCACAATGGTGATTTGCATCCTCTACCCTTCACATCCGGTAAGTTGCCCTCCCCATGAGGCTCCATTCCAGGTGTCCCAGCTACCCATTCTTAGACAACTCACATCCTCTCTCTCATCCTAAGAAGGGAAAGTTGCCCCTGAGCTCATCATTGGTTATTATGTGGTCATCACACACTCCTCTCTATGCTGTCGTGCCTTTGGTGAAATACCTTTATTCATAAAACAAATTTTGCCATTTCTGTTTAAGCCAGAGCTCCAGAAGGTACGTGGTAGGGCTGGCTTAGCAGAGCACTGCAGCTCTTGTCACGTAGCAGATGTTCACTAAATGTTCAAACAGCTGCCAACGGACTCGAGCAGTTGCAATGTAACAAACACTGTGAGCAATTACATCTTTGCATTACATATGCAATTTCATGGGCTACGGAGCAGTTCAGTGATCAAAGTACCTCTGAACACTGTATTTGCTATCACACACACACACACGAGAGCACCCTGACCTATGAGCTACCTTTGTTGTGTTTACATGAGAACTTTTCTCAGCCTACCTTCTGTTGCAATTATGAAGTTTTTCTCTAGTAACTCTTACTGTTATCTTAAAGTCTTAAGGCAGGGTAGTTATGTTTGGGGTAGGGGCAAAAGTTTTTTAGCCACTATCTTCTATGTTTGAAATATGTTTCATCATTGAATTGGTCCCAATGGGACCACGAGCAGCTCCAGCAGCTCTTGGTGCAACAGGCTTGCCTGAGAAACCAATGGCCGTGACCTCCGAGTAGCCAATGACACAGTATTGAAACTAAAGGTTTAGTTACGCTGAAGTAAGAAAAAATGAACTTGTTTTTAGAAAAACAACTTGCTTTCTCCTAAAGAGGTAATTTTTAAAAAAAAGAACATAATCAAATTATTTAGGATTCTAGAGACTGACTATAGATACAAAATATTAGTAACTATTTGTTCAGGGAAATCTGAGTCTTGAGACAGAACAATGAGGCCATGCGACCTGAGCCCACTGAAGTCTCCTCCCTGTAGGACAGCAGGTCTACTGGGGTGGGGCAGCTGTGTTGGGAGGGCTGGCATCGTTCCTGAGGAAGAAACTCAGTAGAACACTTGTGTAGCACGAGCAAGGCCCTGGGCCTGATCCCAGGGGTGGGGATGAGGGTATAAGGAGGGGAGGAGGAAGAAGGAAGAGAGAAGAAAATCCAATGCCAACAGCAAACGAACAGGAAAAGCTGATACAGGTAACCTTAAGTCTTGGTTCCGGTTGGACAAGCAGCGGACTGGCTGACCTACAGCACAACAGCTAACCAGAGGAATGAGTTTGAGCACGTATTTAGGAGAGAGCAGGGGAAGCCCTGGCTACATTCCCGCCTAGGCCAGAAGCTTTGGCTATAGGCAGAAAACAGGAGAATGTCTAGGCTAAAGTAATGCTGAACCGTAGGACTGCACTGTGTGTGTGTTAAATAAAGATCTGTCTCTGACAAACACTGGCTAACCACCGAGATGACCCGACACAGGGCTGACTCCCAAGAATCCAGGTTCAACAAAGATGCAGCAAAGTAAGCAGACATTGTGGTTGAACACTGTGGGGCAAGACAGAACTCATCCAGCAATCATTAGAGAAAAAGAGCAGACAAACAGCAACAAACAACAAAATAAACTATTTCCGTGGGCGGGGAGATCCAATAAAATCAGAATCCAGTTGTTCCAATAACGATTTAACCAGGCTTTTTGTTGTGTTTTATTAAAAAATTATAAAACACAAAAGGATACATGAAGAACCTATTTTCAGAAAAAAAAAAAAAGACCAAGTGACTTAAAACTGTCCCTGTCCCTCCCTGTCTTGTATCCCATGAGATGCCAATTACAGTCAGTCTACTTTCAAATGCATGAACACAGCCAGCTAAGAGAGGGGTGCGAATCCCACTGCTGCCTGAAAAACACATCCAGCTCAGCTGCCCACCAACACCCCCGCAGCCCTGGACTAGAGAGGACATGCCAGCGGGACAAGATGAGCCTAGAAATAAAACCTTACAGCAGCCATCAACGGCCGTTTCACAAAGGTGGCAGAGCAATGCCAAGGGCCGCTCTTCAACAGACAATAAATACCAGGACACTGGGTGTCCACACACAAAAATGCCATAGGTCTCTGCCATGTGTGCAGAGAGGAACTCAGAACAGATAACAGGCCTCAATGTAAGAGCTAAAACAATTTAACTTTTAGATAAAATCTCTTGGTGACACTAAATGAGGCAAGAAGTCATCAGGGGACACACTGATACTGTACTTCACCACTCAAGTCTTCTGCACTTCAAGGAGACCATGAAACAGAGGGCACATCAATATCAGAGAACAGCAGAGTGCATTCAGAACTCACAACTTAGAAAGAGGTGACAATGAGCAGAGCATATGCAAAGCTGAAGTAAGGAGTAGCTGTCAGATTAGGGAACCGGAACTGCAACAGTGCTGGGAGCTGGCTCAGCAACAATTCCACCACACCCCCCCCCCCCCCCAGTTGAGCTCCAGCGTCGAGAGCCATGGAAGGAAAGAAACTACTCCCACAAGTACCCTCTGCCCTCCCCATGAGCACTGTGGCCTGTGCATGTCCAAATGCACAATTTAAACTGAAAAACAGTCTCTACAATGGCCTCAGCCTCCTGTTAGAAGGAAGCGGTGGCGATGAACGTGGGCAACCGGACTTTCATATACTATTAGCAAGCACATGAGAGAAGTCACCCGAGACTGTGGCAGCTGCATAAAACAAGCCAGCACAACTCTGCAGTGTTCTCCCCAGATCTACACACACCAAGAGAAATGAAAACATGCCCACCAAAAGTTGGTATGTAAATATTCATGTGTCTGAAACTACTGCCGGACCTGCATACGCTTTAGCAACGAGAGGCTGTTCTGGGATACAAGCACAAGGGGACATGAAGAAATACAGCTCCAGAGTTTTTCTTCAAATCAGTGAATAAAAATTCATTCCCTCAGCTAGCTTTTTATCTTGCTGTCGAATCAGGAAATGTGAAAATGGGTGGAGTCAAAAGAAATGCCTTGAATACTGGAAACCAAGGACTCCCAGTTCCTGTAAACAAAGCTGAAGTTGCTCTTCTGCACACATGAAGAAACTGAACTGTTGGTCGCCGTTGGGTGAAAAGGGCGGTAAAAAAAGAGAAAAACTTTTCACTTAAAGAACATCTTTATTTGATCTCCAATATACAATATTACCTTTGATTTATATAAAAAAAATCACATTATGGAGGACAGGACTGGAAACCAGTTCAGGAGCAGCCAGTGGGTAACAACATAGGCTATACTTACCCACTTCTTAGTTTAGGGGAAAATCATCAGTGTATTTGAGGTCAGTGAGGGTAAGGAATGGCGTTTCATCTTCCAAACCAACATAATTATACTTGGGGACACTGTAGTCCATTAACCCAGCAAAAACGAGCGTTTCTGTCAATAAAGAGATCTGCTTTTCATGGTTTTCTGTAAGCATGCAAGTCACTGCAAGGTGTTCGCCTCACGTGTTCCTCTGCACATGTGCTCTGATATACTTGGAGAACCAAAGCTTAGGTGCACACTAAGCTGAAGAGACCTCTGAGGAGGCAGGGCCTAGAAAGGCAGTTCATTCGTGCCAAGAAAGAGCTCTCTCTGTCCCTTTGTTCTGAACACAGGTTTCATTTCCAAAAATAGTGGCATGCTTGATAAACATCATGAAAAGTGTACTGCCTGTCAGAACTGGTACACTACAACATATATGCTAGCAAGATGATACCGCCTAAGTTTCACGCGGCCTACAGCTGCTGACTGAGGTGGTAACAGTGCCAGTGTAAAGCTGAAGATGAAGGATGCTTTGATTGGCAAACGATGCACACTGACATACTTGTGAGGGTATGTGGAGAGCTACGAAACGAAGGAGGAAGGGACATGCCTCTGGGTATGTATCTTCACTCAGACTTAAGCTGTTCTAGGGGCAACAGTGTACGTACCCTACAGACTAGCAGCAGCTGTGCCAAGGGGTGAACTGGGCACACAACCCATTCTGTGTTGTTCATAGTTCTTCAAGATTGCTTTCTGCAGCACCAAGATCCAGAATCCTATTAAGTTCTCATCTGAAAGCTCTAAGAGAACAGAGCGGCTATGCCCCAACATCCCAGGGTCGTGGTCCAAGAGTCAGTTGCTGTAAAGTTAGAAAGCAATATTTTGATGCCATACAGATTTTTTTTTCTCATGAGCAGTCTGCAATTACGACACTGAATGACAAGATGAAGACAGGAAACGAGAGCCTAACCCTTCCATTCTGCCTCTTTCATGACAATCATTATCCTAAAACCCAAAGAGACCCTGAAAAATATATCTACTTTCAAGATAACAAAATATACACCTTTAGGTAACATAGATACATACAATTGTACATACATACATCTTTCTGCTTTAAAGTGAATTAAACAAATAAAAAAACAGAGAAAAGGTGTAGGTTAAAAGTTAGAGGGTCTTATACAAAATAAACTTGGGATCAGGTCAGCAGCTGTGACATTCAGGTCAAATCCAGACCTCCATCTAGTTTTTTAAATGAAGGCCTACTGCATCACGGCTGCACCTGTTTGCATACTATCTACAGCTGTAACAGCAGGAGTGAATAGTAAGAGAGCTAGATGGCGCAGTCCTTAAGAAGCTTACTGTGTCTGATCCAGGAAGAGTGAGAAGACCACCTCTGTGAGGGTTGGGATGAGCTGAAGAACGGAAGCATGCTTTCCAGGGTCCCTAAACCACGAGTCAATCACAATAGTCAGATGGGATTCCTTCAATCCTCTGCAAGTTGTGTGGCCTAAAGCAGTCATCAGCTGCCTACAGTGGGCAGATAGCATTCTGGGTCTGTGTATAACTGTATATACACAGTTATGCAGACTACACAAGGCAGGACTGGCCAATTCCAGGGTAAAGAACCCAGAGAACAGGAGGAACCTGAAGCTACAGCTATTAGCCTCTAGTAACTGGCATTTGAGACATTTTAATAGGTTTTACTTTATAGGTAAGAAATACAGGTGCTACCATAGTAGGAAGTGTGCTAGAGAAAAGACAATTTACCACTGCAAGCTAAACCCATGGATTAGGGAACAAATTTTTTTAAATATAAAATAACGCGCACGTCTATAAAATATTGACTTTAATAATGTAATTAAAGTGATAACAAAATAAGACTGTTTTTATTTCTGAAGTAAATATTTTAGTCAAAGACGCATCAGAAATCAAATATTTCTTTGACATTTCCAAGAGACTTTAGTTATTAACTACAATTATAGTTGTTAGTATTATATAGTAACAGTGTTTAAAATATATTATAAACCTTTATCTTTCTCTTTAATTTAAATGAAATATAAAATTAAGAATTTCTTAACATGATCCATTTTGGAAAACACTTAAAATGATATGAACCACTGTCATACAGAAAATGCCATTGGAATCACGTGTCGTGCTCTAAGGCTTGAATGGTGCCAGGCACAGAGCTTGGCACGGATGCAATGTTCCACAGCTGTCTGCCCACTCACTCTCTCATGCACTCATTCAGAGACTCTGGCTTACGGGGAGTCTGCATCATAACCAGTAGGGCAAGCGCAAGCTTTTATTAATAAATCTGGAGTCTGACAAAGACTTTGGCGATGAAGAGTGGAAAAGAGGAGAAGCTGGGAATCAAGATTTCAAACTGCTTGATTGAAACCTGCCAAGGGAAGCCTTGGCATCCTAGAGGACATCAGGGCCAAAATTCTGCAGAAACAGTGCACTCCTTCGATACCTAGGCTTTCTTTACACCCACACACCAGTCAAAAGACAGGAACTGGTGCTTAGAGGAGCACACCGTGCACAGCCCACCTGAGAGACAGCGCCTCCAGCTCAGGACTCGTCTGTACCGAGGCTTCTTCAAGGGCTCATTCTTAGTTTTAATAACTTCACAGTGGCTCATTAATTTTCTAAAAATCTGCTTTGAATCAAAAGATGTGATTCTAAAATGAGCAATAAATATGGAAGTTAGAGGTGTTAAACAATCCCCATTTTTATGTATTGTCTATTCTGCACGATCGTGCCCAAAGCAGAGGGTGAAGCATCGAGGCACTAGTGAGTGAGCATTGCTGGATTCCTTTCCAATTTTATAAACACAATGAGTATGGGGCCTGAGTATTGAGGTCTACAAAATGTCAAGGGTATGAAGGATGGAAGAAGACACACATTTAAAAAGTAAGCAAGAAAGTAAGCAAAATATGGGATAATGCTAGATTTTGGAAAAATATCTTTAAAATCCATTAACAAAATACAACATGACACTGGCAAGTCATTTACACCTGACTTTAATGCCTTTGGTATTCAGAGAAGAAAAAGCATTGTCGTAAGCTCGAGTTCTCATCACAAAGTCGGGGTGTTAAAATGACAATCTTCAGATCTTCACACGAACCATGCCCTGCTCACACCCACGCCTTCTCTTATGCTTTAGGCTCATGTGAACGACAAGAGCACTGGGTGGGGGTGGGAGATGCTGTTTTGTCTCCTCTGAGAATTCCTGGGGAACCAAGATGGCGCCTTCACTGCACTGACGTGAACAAAGTGAAAGACGGTTGGTGCCCTGCTTGCTGCTCTGGTCTCTGCCACCTCCAGCTTTTCACTTTATCTTGACTTGTGAGTGGACTTGTGCTGTTTTCAGAAGGCTCACTTTTTTCTCTTCTGAGAACCAAAACCTTCTCTTTCTCTTTAGAGTAATGGCGATCTACCTTTCTCATTTACACTTTAAAAATTTCAAGCAGGAAAAGATATCACAATTTTGAAATGTGCTAGAACTCGCTCTCTCCATGTTGTCCTCTATGAATACTGAACAGGTGTGAGGGGGCAAGCGTATGCAGCACTGGCTGAACTCTGACGACCAGATGACTTACAGTGTAAGACGGTCACCCTTATATGTCTGATTATATTGACTTTTCCCACAATTTCAGTCTGCTATATGCTAGTAGAGAGCTAAAAAGAAAAGCTACCAACCAAGGAAATAAGCTTTCAAAATTCCAAAGCAGAGCTCATGAACAAACTGTTCCATCAAATATTCAAAATCAGAGCAAATATTAGATTATAGTGTTCTCAAGTTCTATTATCATCAAAAAATGATGTCTGTACTAAAATGAAAAGGAGGGAGAGTGTCTTGTATTGTCATAGAAATTCAGGGGACAAAAATTTTATAAGCATTAATATTAACCTTATAGTTTTTGATAAAATTTTACTTTTTTTGCCAAAGTATTAAGCAATAACAACAAAAAACCCACAATATCTGTAAGTTCCTTAGGTTTATGACAGTTTTAGTGAGTATGATTAATTATATCACACATTTGCCACTGGAGATTATTTTGAAACTATTCTATTAGTTCTTTGGATATATAATATTCTTGGAGAAACTTAAAAACATAAAATCTTTGTGAGTAGCTCACACATGTGAGGTAACTGAGGGAAGTTGAGATGTCTGCTTCTGCTTTAGTGCGTTGTGAAAGCGACTCAGCTTGTTCTAGCAAAGGCAGAGTGCATGACAGTTAGAGTGAATTCTGCCAAGTCACAGAAAGCTGTGAGGTGAACAACTCTACTAACTGCGGTACGTGATTAAAGCAGGTTTCTTTGCTTGATAGACTTGCTGGTTCAGAAGAATAATTTCCTACCAACAATATCAAGGATTCTTGAGAACAGGTTTCAAGGCAACAAACTGGCACCTTCCCCACCTTCTGCATGCTACCCATACTAGCGTGAGCTACATGCACACTCCCACACTCGGGCTCATAAGCAGCAGTTATGATAAATACCAGTTTCAGCATACCATATGGAGACAAGAGACTTGAAAAGTATTCTTCATGAGGTTATGCCCCCCAGAGAAAAACTAAATCTAAACAGATTTCAATGAACTATGTTGGGAATGAAATGGTTACCAGTCCAGTAAAAATCCAATGGGGAGCTTGACTATTCAGACAGGGACAGTATCTGTTTCTTCTCCAAGTCTTCTTCTACCGATGTAATTACACTGTTCCTTTGTTCTTGTTCACTCCAGTGTGTCCCATTATTTACTAAAGTGGAGGAAAGGGGTTAAGCAATGTGTAATATTTGATTTGAAAGCTGCTCCACGGTGGGAGGAAAGAAAGGTATAATTGGTTCCAAAAGCCATCTCTAACTCCTGGAAGGTGTTCTATGTTCTTGGCTTGCACTAACGATACAGAATAAGACATTGTTTCTCAAGTGGCCATCTCATTAAGAGTCAAAGCACATCAGGCCTCTGTCCTACATGTACCAGAACATGTTTTGGTCAGGTATAAAATGGAATAATTTCAAAGTTGATGTATCTACAAGTGAAAAGTCTTGAAGGGGAGAGTTTCATTCGGCATGGTGACGTAGAGGTCCAGGTTTTCAAAGCCGCCTCTCCAGACAACGTCTGTAGTGGTCCATGTAAACAAAACACAGGTAAGAATGGTCCTTCTGGAGCTGTTCATCGAACAGCAGGATTACCTGAAAGAGTGCTGTTGGCTAAACGTAACACGGGCAGAGGGTGAGCCTCTGTGTTAAACACCCAGTGGTCTAAAGGTAGAAGGTCATCGCCAGAGAACAGTAGGTACAAGTATCTAAAACAAAAAGGAGAGGAGAGAACGTCAGTCAGAACTCAGCAAGAACTCAAGTGGGCTCACTGGTGACTGCAGAGAAAGCCAGGAGCTGATTTTGAGCGGTGCTGATGAAGATGCACAATTTGACTTCTGAAATAAGTTTCTTAAAAAATCTCACATACCTGTCCAAAGCTTTAAGAACAGCATAAGACAAACAACTTCATATATTTCAGATATTCTTTTAAAAAGCACACATAATATCAACTCTAAGTTTTGGAAACTCAGAGACTCATAAGAGATCTAAAGATTCCTATTTATTAGCAAATACTGAGGAAAGCTAGAAGCTGTCACATTACAGCTCTTGGAATGGACAACTATTAACTAGGTCTCAGAAGCACTGCCTATTGATAAGGAGTCTGAAGGCCAATAGGAGCCCAAGGGCTCTGTGACTCCATGCCACGAGTCACCTGGACACCAAAGAGGAATCAATAACAATTTTTTGGTTTGCATGTTTGTTTTTTCAAGACAGGGATTCTCAGTGTAGCCCTGGCTGTTGTGAAACTATCTCTGTAGACTAGGGTGGCCTCCTTGGCTGTCCTAGAATTAGTTCCATAGATCAGGCTGGCCTTGAACTCACAGAGATCCACCTGCCTCTGCCTCAGGAGTACTGCAATTAAAGGTGAGTGCCACCGTCACCTGGTGTACCACAATGATTTTTACCTTCAATGTGGTCAGGAAAATTCCAATTTGAAGCCTATTAAAGGTCATCAAAGTTATACATAAAAATCTATAGGGTCAGGGATTGGGGTATATCTCAGTTATATAACACCTGCCTAGCACGAGCAATGCCTTGGGTTCCATTTGTTGCACCATAAACACACAGAAAGACAAACACATACTCCACAAAGTAAGAAAACCTGGAATCTACCTCTTGCTGTTACTGGCATCACTTTACAAAGCCCCAGTGATTTTTTTTTTTTTAGTACATTGCTATCTCTTTAAGTTACTATTACAGTTCTAGATGACAGCAAAAATATAGTTCAGGTAAAGGTATGACATATTGCCTGTACATATGGGGCTCTGTACAGCTTTTCCATGTGGGAGACTGCAGTCCCAGTGTGGGGCTCCCGTGACCCTGGTACAGCATTACAAGTGAAAGGAAAGGGAGAATTGGACTAGACATGCAAGGAAGAAGATCATCTGAAGACGGGGCAAAGGTAGTGCATCATTCTGTGCGCTTTGTCATCTTGACATCTTTGGTGAGATACCGATTTTAAAATTTCACCCAATTTTTAGCTGGAATGCCTGTTCTCTCACTAAGTTCCCAGAATTCCTCATGCTGTAGACAGCAGTCTATTATCAGTTGTTTGCTTTATAAAGATTATCATCCTAGTGTGTACCTTTTCTTCACCCCGCCCCCCACTTTGAGACATTGTCTCTCTAATACCTCTGGCTGGTCTCAAACTCACAGAGACCTGTTGACAGAAGGTTTCTGTCCTGTCCAGGCCCACAGCCGCTCAGCCCCAAAGAAACACACAGAGTCCTACATTAATAATAAACTGGTTGGCCTATTAGCTCAGGCTTCTTATTAATTAATTCTTACATCTTAAATGAGCCCATTATTCTTGTCTATGTTAGTCATGTGGCTTGGTACCTTTTATCAGCAAGGCATTCTCATCTTGTTTTCAATGCATCTGGGTTACGAATGCAGACTGAACCTTTCCTCTTCCCAGAATTCTTCTCCTATTCTGGTGGTCCTGCCTATACTTCCTGCCTGGCTGCTGGCCAATCAGCATTTTAATAAAATACAAATAACAAATCTTTATGGATACAAGACCATTGTCCAACAGCAGAGACCTGCCTGGCTCTGCTTCCCAAGTGCTGGCATTAAAGGCGTGTATGTGCCACTATACCCAGCCTTTCCTTCATGTTCTTAACAGTATCTTTCCAAAAATAACTGCTTTCAATTTTGAGACTATTTTAATGATTTTGCTTCTGCTGTCACATATAAGGAATCTTTGCCTAGCTTCAGGTTACAAAGATTTTCCCCCCAGTTTTTTCTTTTTAAAATATACTTTTTAGGATTTAAATTTAGGACATGACCCACTATAAATTCATTTATGTATATGAATTAAGAAATCCAAATTTTTCAGTGCAATCTACAGTCAATACCACCCTTTCTCATGACTGCCTTTGTGACAATCAGGGCTCCATTTACACACACTGCCATTCATGAGCTCTCTATTCCGTACATCAATGAATCTATAGAATACACTGATATCCACCATTTTCAACACTGTAACTTTAATGTTTTCAAGTAAGCTATTATAGGCTTCTATGTTGCAGAATATTTGTTTATCTGTAAAGATGTGTCTACTAGTCAGGTATCTTCTGATTGGTTTAATAAAGAGCTAAATGGCCAATAGCTAGGCAGGAGAGAATAGGTGGGACTTGTAGAATATTATATTAAGAACTGTTACATTTGGTTATGTTCTGGAACATGTTTAATGATATAAAGATGTGTTGCTTTTATTTATGTTACAGTTGTTTAACTCTGTGAACTATGATTCTTTGCCTGTATAAAACACCTGATGGTCTAATAAAGAGCTGAACAGTCAATAGCAAGTTAGGAGAAAGGATAGGCGGGGCTTGCAGGCAAAAAATATAAATAGATGGGGAAATGACAAGAAAAAAAAAGAGCAAGGAGAGGAACACATCAGAGGCCAGCCACTCAGCCAGCCATAGAGTAAGAGTAAAAGTAAGATATTCAGAAGCAAGAGAAAGCAGAGGCAAAAGGTAGACAGAATAATTTAAGTTAAGGAAGCTGGCGAGATGGCTTATCAGTCAAGCTAAGGCTGAGCGTTTATAAGTAAGAATAAGCCTCTATATGTATTATTTAGGTCCTGGGTGGTGGGCCCCCAAAGAGTAAAGAGTAAAAACAGAAAAGAAAAAAAAAAACTCAGGGACTTCCAGGCAGAAAGAGAGAAACTGGGAGGAGGAATCTAGGCACATTTTGCTAGAAACTCGGAGAGCAGAAGGTGCAGTACAGGGAGGAGATAGAGCCACATGGCAGAACATAGATTTAAAAATATGGGCTATGTTTTAAGAGCTAGTTGAGAAGGCGGCTAAGCTAACGCCAAGATTTCATAATTAATATTAAGTCCCCGAGTTGTTGTTTGGGGGATGGTGATACAAAGAGTATCCAATAAGAACACTTGCTACATTTGGCACGCCAATGCTACGCACCAAGAATTGAGATGTCATGCCTGCTGGTACTGCTGCAGTTGTCATCTGGGCCTTTTCGCTTGCGGGATTCTGGAAAATGGGTTCAGTAAGTTCCTGAGAGCCGAGAGCTAGGGCGGTAAGTGCAGCTCCTGGTAATACCTTCAGCATGAGCCTAGGCTCTCGGGGAACTGAGGGGAACAGAGGTAGTCAGCAGAACCATGAAGGGGTAGCCTGGCACTTTATGTTTTGACTTATACTATCAGAGAAGGCTACAGACATGCAAAAAGTCAGGTTCAAACTGAGAAAACCTCTAAACAGATACAATATGTTTGAATATGCTTAGGTGCTAAAGAAAAAAAAAGATATGGGTATAAAAAGTCATAGAAAAATAAATATATAGTTTAAAAATAAAGTCAGGAGAGAGTAAAGTAATATAAAAGGAATTAAGACATGTAAAGATGAAAAATACACAGGGTGTCTGGATTCTGTATGGTGCTTTGTTGAGCTTGAATTTTTTTAAATGCTGATAACAAAAAATAGTAGCTGCTGAGAAACACTGGGTTATAAAAATGCGAAATTAAAACAAGCTATATAAGAATGTCTTAACTTCAAAATGGAAGTCAGAAAATATGTGGCATCAGGGGAGAGGTTTTGCTTTTGTTTCCACAAGAAATAAAAAGCTATAGATTACTTCAAAATTAATGAAGACCAGATTTGATTGGGGGAGACCTACTGAAAATACTGACTAGAGACATGAAGAAGGAAAACCAAGAAAAACTACAAGACAAGTGATGTATAAGCTGATCCCTCTGCATGGGAACAGCTCTGAGACTGAATTAGACATGATAAATCTTGTTGACTACAGAGTCCTCGTGATTTTCATATGGCATGGGTAGAGACTTATATTATAGCTTGGTAATGCAGTCAAGACGAACTTATAAAGTTAACAGATACCTTTTACCTGCTCAAACATAAAACAACTTATGCACACTGTACATTCCATACCTGTATTAATTCAAGCATAGATGTTACCTTTAAAAGTTTGTGTGCTTTCAGAAAAAAAAAGGACCAGACACCAGTGAAAACAATCCCAGGTGATCCAGCCTCTCAAAATGCTTCTGTTGCAGTTTTCTCAAATTCTATAGTCTATATACAGAACAACTTCAAAACTGCTAGCTAAGATGGTCCAGCCTCATACACTACTCGAGCCATGACTTCAGATAAGCTATACACATTCCCATCACACAAAGACTAAACAAAAAATAATACAGCTAGCTTTCCCAGGACTTGAACATTATCTCAATTTTTCTTAGGGTTCTCTAAAGATGCTGTTGCTCCCAGAGAACAGAAAGTAGGCTAGAGAACATGATGCCCAAATTCCCAACAGATGAGGTGGTTGGTTTTTGGTCATTTGGTGGGTTATGGATGTTTGCCATCATTTAGGGGAATTGGTTGTAAATTGTTACTTGTCAAGGTAAGGGAAGAAACTAAGCAAGGGAGGTTGAATTCAAGGGTCTCTGTCTGAAAATAAAAAAGAGGGACTAGTATATTGATACAAATTTAAGGTTATATTAAAACATACTCTATATGTGTTTCTACTCTTGTTTAAGATATTTTTTGTAAATTGATTCAAATTTAAGGTTATTTTTGTTATATTGTATATATTTTTATATTCTTGTTTAAGGTATTGTACCTATGCAGTTCATTTTAAAATATAATGTATAGTTCTAGTCCTTAAATGCTATTATTATAAACTATTTAGAATAAATAAGAAATGCAGGTTAGTAGTTGGTTAT